ATACCCGTTACCCGAGGAATAAAAGGGCATGCTAAATACGTTGAAATGGATTGACGCCTTAATTGCCCATGGTAAATAATCTGTTCGCTCAGCCAGCTTGCTTAAATTTACCAAGTTTTAATGCAGAGCATGAGCATATGTAGATAATGATAGGGCGGCCTGCTTATCAAAAAGCAGTAACAAGTATCAGATAGTCGCTTTCTGGTATCTTTTTTTTCATAATTTGATACACCAGTTCCCGACTGATTGCAGTTTTTGGCTGCATGCTGAAGCCATTTATCATTCGCTTAGATCCAGGAGGAGGGATTCGGAGTCCTAAAACCAGGACTTCTATAATCAGTGCACACATGTCCAGGGCGGAGATTTTCCTGAAGTCCTCATAAAATATTATGTTCAGCTTTTACACTGTGTTGTGTTATTGCGAATCTCAAATGGGAATGGCTGACGTGACTAAGTGCAACATGGCACAGGGCACAGGGCACAGGGCACTGGTAAATAAATTCGTTATCTGTAAACCATTCAAGTGGTTCAATCTGTCTTACCCTTTCCTAGTTTCTAGCACCTGTTTCGGCCTAAAGGTGTTCCGATTGATTCAGCCCCGGACACGTGTGGGAAAGTCACAGTCAGCAAATTGATAGTTTAGGAAGCCACTCACTTTGATGCACTGCGGGGAAATTGGCAACGCAGCTTCTTCTAATATTCTCATATATATTTACAACATATATAAACAACGAAAATTCATCATATATATAACTTTTGCATTCTTTACAACAAGTCTTTACAACAGCAACATTTCTCGATTATGGGAAGGTCGCCCTCGCTGGGTTGCAAACTTCAAAGCCAAATTATAATCGAAATATTTTCCACAGTGCCAGTTTGCAAGTGTATGGGCCTTGCGATCCTCAGCGATAAAGTAGTCCGTTAAAAAGTCGGGAACTTTAACATCTACATATTACACGCCCCATTTCATAATTCACAATTCCATTTTACTCAAGAAAGGTTAAGTTTATGGTGATCCAAATAGATGTACCTTTTGATCAATTTGTCGATACAAATTTTCCGCAGTGTTCGCTGGTCATTTGACCATTTTTCCTGCACGTCTGGAGTTACGCTGCCACATCCGGCATATATGTACATATGTACGTGTCTGCCAGCCAGCCGCAATATGAATCAATAAATGAGCTGAATAGCAGATACAAGCTGCGGAGCTAATCAGCTTGTTTGTGCATATGGGATTCTTACATCTGGTCGTTGAGAAAGGGCAAACCGTAGTGAAACAATCGAATGGCACGCCGAAAAAGCGCTGAAAGTATTTGGTAAATGCATAATGTACGCAATGAAAAATGCAATGCCTGGAGTAGGAATTGTAGTGGAAAAATCCACTGCTTCGTTTAAAATCGGATTCGGTGTAATCCTGGACTGCGGCCAAATCGTATCTGCGGAAGAAGCCATCATAAACCGAATCTGGCCAGGATATCCGGGCCCCAGTTGGCAACTACTGGACTGTAACTAATTACTGAGTCAGCCAAATAAAAATAAATTTCGATACGCATTAAAATCGAATCAATCATTTAGTTTTCGCGTGGCATTAGAACACAAAGTTTCAGCGACAGAATGCCTTGGGACATTGTTGCAGGCGGTGGATTGTTGTTTATTTTGGCCGGATTTTGGCTGTTTAGGTGGCCATAGCAGCCAAAACGCACAAGTTGTTGCCCTTTTTGCTGGGAGCTGCCACACACGCACCTGGAAGCCTGCCTTTTGGACCCTAATACAGAAGCATTATACATAAACCAGCTTAAATAGCCGATGGGACAGGGGGTCGGAATCCCCGCCAGCTGCTTACATAATTAAACCGAGAGATGCTGGGGAATGGAAGGGCCAAGACAAATTGGCATAATGAAAACAGCTGGTGTCGCCTTCGAGGATCAGGTCGAATGCAAATTTCGCTGTCTCCCTGCACATTTCACTTGTCGCCTGCTGGTCGGTCCTTCAGATTCGGGGCTGCGCACTTCACAATACGCATTCCAATTCGGGTTCCAATTCCAATTCCTCTTTTCGAATTTGAATTTCGGGCTCTCCTTTTCAAAGGGACAACGCATATGCAAGGGCTGCATAAATTTCCGGCACTCTTCTGTGACCAGAAACAAGGATACCGCCATCTTCCGGCGATATAAAACGAATTAGCATAGAAAACTGCAAATTTGAATTATGAACAGCGGCAGCAGGAGCAGCAGAAGATGCAACAAGGAGCGCAGGTCAAGAGGACAACAGGAAAGCGGAAAACGAAAGGATCATGACCTGGAGCCCCAGCTGCAGATGTTCCAGTCGCCTCTGTCGAAGCGGAAAGAAACTCACACTGGGAAGCCGCATCCTACAGCATAATGTTTGCTAAAAACTGTGAGAGTACGGAAGGAAATGATTAGATGACCAATAGAATTCAACAACTGGACTGACCCGGGTGCAGCATATTTAGCAAACACCTTTCAATGCGGCGAAAGGTTTCATTTTTCATTCGATTCAAGAAATACACTATCCAGCGTAGCAGCCGTAGAATTCGATTCGTGATAAAGGACACGGCAAAGTAATGGAAAACTCAATGAAGCCCTGTTTCGTTAGCAAAAAGCATTGTTCTATGTGTTAACAGGCGTAAATGGAACACGCATGCTTAAATCAACAGCCCCACTCAGAATACGCAATTGGAGGTGCCCTTTAGGCCATCAGTGATTGATTGCACATCCCACACGGCCCAGAAAAGTCCTTTTCCTTTTCCTTTGCTTTTGCTTTTGCAGTATGCACGTGCCTGCGAGAATGCACATGCTTGGCATTGACCTCTGACCTCTGACCACTGGCACTGGCACTGGCACTGGCACTGGCACTGGCACTGGCACTGGCAGGGCGATATCTGGCAGATACGCTCACATCCTACAGCCCACTAATGCGACTAATAGATCCATGTTTGCCGAAAAGTTTGAGGCGCCACTCCGCCTCGTTTGCTCCCAGCTCCTCGGCAAATACGTAATCAGGAAAATTTTTATGCGCGTTCTCCTTGCGTTCTTGAGTCGCGTCGAGTCGGCAAATAAACGGCGCTTTGAGATGGCCTCCTCCTCCAAATACTTGGAATACGTTTCTCAATTTCCATAAACACGTGGGCAAATAGCACGTGCGTCCGTGGGACAGGAATGGCGAGAAATCACGGTCTTAAACTCACTCTATGTACGAGTATGTGTCTTCCCAGCTCAAAAAACCCTACAATATTACGTAAGCTCTTTTTTCTCAAGATCTGAGAAAAAGTTAAGGCGTGGTCTTATTATACGCGTATGTGCAACATGTGTCCAGTGTAGCATTGTTTTCTCTGCATCTGAGCAGTATATGATTTGTGATACTAATAGTTTGAGAGATCGAATAAAAAATGTATTGGTAAGTCACCATCAACTTTCATGAACTGTAATTTCGCATGATTCCAAACCTTTTTTTTGGTGCATGAACACCGGTCCAATTTTCCCCTCTGCATTTGTTAACTATTGCCGACATTTTCCTGCGTATGTGGCACACTCCCTGATGGAACGAACCCCTCATGAAACTTTTCAGCACTTCGCATCTGCCGAGCCTTTTCGAAGCCCGCTATGTTTGAGTTTCGGCGCTGTAAAATACGCCTTGAATTGATTTTTATTTATATTTCAAAGGAAAACTTTTGTGCAGCTGTCGCGCTTGTTGTTTTTCTTGTGCTTTCCGTTTTGTTTTTGTTGGCCCGGCCTGCAGCTGCGTCAGACTTGCGAATACGACCCGTCAATATTTCATTACCATTTCGATTTAGCTATAGAGCCGGATTTCAGGAACGCATTCCAAGAAACATTTTTTACTTCATAGCAGCCAACTAGATGAATTGCACTTAAAAGGCTTCCCAACGTGTTCTAATGTGATGCATTATTATTCATAAGCGTTCTTTGGGAACGCAATGGTTTCCGCTACTATTAGGCACCCATTACTCAGCTGGTAATGCAGTCAAATCAAATAAAAAATGCATTAATAACTATTACCATGCTTCCTAAATACATTCAGAAGTGATCTGAAAAACGCGATGCTTTCTACCTACACTAACTGCAAGTATTCCCAACATTTATTTAGAAACTTATCCAACTGAAGGTTTGATTTCAAAAGATTTGTGTATCTCCTTTTATGCCATTGATGGAACGATTCTTAGACGTTCTAGAAGTGGGACGAAAAGTTGCTCTTAGCACCCTTCTACCCGGATAAATAACCAAATATATAATCCAATCTCAATATACGGTTATAGGATTATGATCACGCATGGCTTGATTGACCTAGCTTAGATGCGAAATCTGTCAAAAAACGACTTTCGGGTAACGAAAATTGCAAAAAGTCAAAATTGTCAAGATATATGTATATTTAAGAAGACTTTTATTTATGTCTTTATGTCAGAGAATGGATCAGGTTTTGGTACTTAGCTAGTGCGCGTTAGAGCAGGAGGGCCCAAAATAGTTTGGCATATGGGTAGCAACTGTACCTTTAACATACTTTTCAACGAATGCAGTAGAAGCTTTTACTCTGCGAGTAACGAGTGCACAAATTTCCTAAGGGAGCCACACCATTGAATTGAAATGCGGTTTGAATCGATCTGATGCGATTACGTTTCACTCTGCGGCCTAGTGGTAATTGAATACATCATGCATGTGAAAAAAAACATAAAACACGCAATTGAACAAGCTGATAAATTATTTTTGAATTTTATCGGCCGATTAAATATACAGATGCAGATGAGCTATGGTGTGAAAGGCACTGCATGCGCATAATTTGTTGGCGCAATTAAACAAAAGGCGATCTGTCTAAGCGTTAACAAAGTATTAATTAAAATAAACTAAACTAATTTTTAATGTGATGAGTTTTAATATACTGGCCTTTAGGTCCACTTTTCGCTCTGTGTGGAGATGGACTGAGCACCCTTGATCCGAAGCTGTCAATTGACTCAGATACGTCGCAGGTTTTATTTGAGTTACAGCCGCCGGCATGGAACGTTGGCATAACTGCGTAGCGGTGGTGACCGGCGCTAGTTCGGGAATCGGAGCAGAAATCGCCCGAAAACTTATCTCCGCTGGCGTGGTGGTTGTCGCCCTGGCCCGGCGCCTGGACCGCTTAGAGCAGCTGCGTCAGGAGCTGCCGGAGGATCGGCGATTGCGATTGCGCATCATGCAGTGCGATGTCTCGGACGTGTCGTCCGTAAACGCAGCCTTCGACGCGGTGCAGCGGGATCTGAGCGGCGTGGACATTCTGATCAATAACGCCGGAAAGCTATCCGGCGGACAGCTGTTGACAATGTCGGTGGACACTGTGCAGCAGGTGGTCCAGACGAACGTAATGGGCGTGGTCTACTGCACCCAGCGCGCCTTCGAATCGATGCGGCAGCGACAGTCCGCCGGTCATGTGGTGCTCATCAACAGCATTGTGGGCCACTACGTCTTCAATCCGCTGCCCGGCAGCCAGCAGGAGCTCAACATGTACCCGGCCACCAAGCACGCGATCACCGCTCTTACCGAGCTCTTTCGCCAGGAGATGCGAGAATTCAAGACCCAAGTCAAGGTCACGGTGAGTGCGTGTGTCGAATGAACGAACGCCCCACACAATAATCAGGAAACTATCATTCACAATCGAAGCTTTAGTAGGGCCGCCACAATCTTGTGCTATGTGATATAATCACACCTATACTGTAGTGTACGTAGTTCGATAGATTTTTAACTAGTGGGTCTTTTAATAGTGGGTGTTCACACTATAAACTAATGCGTACACTTAATGAGTTCAATTCGGGTGTTTGAATCTAACTGACTCGCTGCTGCGAGGGCATCGCCTTTTATTCATTCTTACATAGGTTCTTATCATCTAATTATATAATGCAGCGCTTGTAAGACGCTGCAGTCTGCGTTGGTCAATGCAGCTGAGGTTTATCTCAAATCTATGTTTGAAGCCTATGACCGCGCTAGTCACCTCCCGCGTGGTCATATCTCTTGACACTTCGGCAATAGACCACTGCAACCGTACTTATCTGTAGTTGCCACTTATGCTGTCCCGTGACATGTTTATTGCAGCCCTTAAATAGAACATATTTATAGATTGTCTACTTATCATGTCTAAACACATGTTTAGACATTCTCCGGGGGGGAAAAATGTACGGCCAGTAGTTGTCTCTCATTTATGTGTTGCCTCCGGATATAAATGACTATTATAATTATAATAATCGTTGTCAACGCTAGGGCCGAGTGTCCGCTTGCCGTGTGGAAAATCAAGTCATCAATGTGTACTTTGTTATTTTTCAGAGTCTTGATGCGCATTTGAAGATTTTGCAGTTCATTAGTGTTGTTGATAATCAAGTGCTTCAGCGGGACCACGTTCCATGTCTCCTTGTCATCTATAATTCGTAAACTGGGGAAGATAGATATTTCAGACGCTGTCGAAATTACTTTTTGAGGAGTAATTATTGTTGTATCTCCTAATATTGCTGTGCATCCTGCAAGTAGTTGTATAATGCCTTGATTGGGCAGTCTTATAACTTCATGCTGTTCGTTGCATCTTATATTAGCTGTTGTATTCCGAAACAGTTTAAATAGCCAACGGTTGGATCCACTTATCTCTTTGATGAACGAATTGCCTTGGAATTCCATCATTTCGCATGAGTGTGCCTTGCTTGGTTTCAATGGAGATATTTCGCAAGAGTGATCTTCCGCGTTTTTCCATGCCCAATTACTTTCGCAAAGCCATGTTGTCGAATCCTCTTGTCTGCATTGGTTAATTTCCATTTCAGACATTAGGTGATATGCGTTTATGTCTGTATTGAACGCAAAATATTTAGAATTCAATTTCGGAATAAGCTTTGTTCCGTTTGTCCACAGTGGTATTGGGATTACTTCAAAGAGATCCGTTTCCTGATTGTTGTATATCGGCAATTTTGCTTCAATGAATAGGACATTATCCTTCAACATAGCTTGTGCCTTCATCAGTTTATAGATCAGTGGTAATTGTATAACTGAATTTCCACCCGGTAGCATTTGTTTTCGTCCTAATTTTTTCTTAACTTTTTCGAGCTCCTCCAGCATTTTGTTAGGCGCAATTAGTGTAGGATGAATTCTTCCTTCACTAATGTCCGTTATCATTGAGATCGCTGTTGCTTGTAGGCTTTCTGCCTCTTCAATCCAGTTTCGCACTTGATTTGATAACATAAGGAATTTAATTGACTCCTTATATACCATAAAGTGCTCCTTCATGGTTTCTGCAATAATATTGACTTGTTTGGTCAGTTTTCCCAAATTCCGGTTTGCTTCTATCGTAGTTGCTCTTACTAATTCTTCCGTGGCATTGATGACCGAGGTCTGATTGTCAACATATTCCATTAGATGTTTTTCGTTTCTTATGATCGTTTGCATATTTTCCTGTATTCTATTTGCATTTCCGATATCAAAGAACAGTATAAACCTTTTCTTTCGGTTGGTACGGTGCCGAAGTATTTTGTCTTTTTCTTTTATGTTGTCAATTTTTGTCCGTATTGTCGTGCCGAAGAAATCGCAGTAGTCCTTGAAGTCTCCCATTTTTGTGCAAACCAAGCGGGATTTTTCCAGGAAGTCCTCTGATTGTTTTATGACATCAAAATAGGCTTGCATGTCATAATAAAACAATAATTGCCAACTGGATGTAGCGACTTCAATTTTACCAATTTTGTTCACCATAACTGCAGCTTTTGCGTCGATGTCGTAAATTTTCCCAAGTTCTTTGGCCTGTTTTTGAGGTTCCGATTTTTCTGTCGCATTTGTAGCTTGCAATATCAATAAACAGCATAGCACAGTAGCTATGCTTCCAGTGCCATTCCTTTTGTCTTTTGGAACTCGCTGCCTAAGCTTCTTGTCCTTGCGTAGCTGCATTGACTCCGTTATAGATGGCGTTGCAGCTCCAGCTGGTTGTGCTTCGCTAACAGGAAGTTGACAGATCTTATTTAGCGATCTTTTTACTTCCCCCTCGTTTGTTTTGACCGTGACTACCCGGACTTTATCATCTTGTCCTTTAGTCGTACCAATGATTCTTCCCATTGGCCATCTTGCAGGGTGAGTATTCTCATGTTTTATAAGAACCAGCTGTCCCTCCTTCAGATTTGGCTTTTCTTGGCGCCATTTGGTTCGCTTTTGCAATGACACCAGATACTCCTCTTTCCATTTCTTCCAAAAATCACCTTTGATGCGTTGAATCAGCTTCCATCTATCCAATTCCCAAAAGCGTTCCAGGTCCTTTAGATTTATTGTTGTAGTGGCACTTATAATTTTCTGCTTTGCTGCTCGAGTTATATTTCCGGACACAATCCATCCAAATTTGGTTTTTTGTCCCAAGATTCCATTTACGGTTTTGATTTTCTCCATCATAATCAGGGGAAATAGATCCACACCTATCACTATGTCAATTCTGCTTGGCTCGTTGAATCGTGGATCTGCTAGCCTGTAGCCCTTCCACTCTTTGTTGATATCAATATCAAACTTTTTGCTGGGAAGGGCTCTATGGAGTGTTGGTAAAACCAATGCTTCCGTTGATGCTTTGAAGCTGCTTGGAATTTTTGGTTTGATCGTTAGGTGGACACTATTTTTTGATAGTTGAGTAGTCTGGGATATACCTTCGACCTCTATAGTACTCCTTACTCTGGGAATCCTTAATATTTGTGCTGCTTCCTCTGAAATCAGCGTCTTCTGGGATCCACCGTCAATAAGCGCCCTCAACTCGTTGTAACCTCCAGCTTTGTTTTTCACTAAAACAACAGCTGTAGCCAATAGAGTGTCTTGGCCTTGCTTAAGGCTATTGCTGTTGATGCTGCGTTTTGTGTCTTCATGCAGAAGGCTGTTGTGTCTTTTGGAGCATCGATTGCATGTAATTTCCTTTCTGCAGTCGATAGCATTATGCTTTCCAAAGCATCTAAAGCACATGTTGTTCTTTTGAACGAATTCTTTTCTTTTTTCAATTGATTGTGCTCTGAATTTGAGACACTTTATCATATCGTGGCCATCCTTAGAGCAAAAGACACACGATCTTACTTGCACTTTTCTTGTAGCAAGCTGAGCGGTATTTTTGGTAATGGCGTTTACTGAGTTGTATTGTTGCTCAATAAACTCCAGTACGTCTTGTAAGGACTGTATATCTCTTGCCTTTTTTACATGCTGTTCATACAGCTGCAAGGCTTCTGGCGAAAATTTCCGCAGCAGAATTTCTGCTAAAATTACGTCAGCAGAGCTTTCTATTTTTCCTTTTTGCTTTATTATGAATATGCTCTCGGTCGCAGTATCCAAAAACTTTCCTAAATTTTTCTCATCATGGGGCAGCAAGCACTCCAATTCCATTAATTTGTTGAAGTGTTGGGAGAATATTTTTCTGCTATTCTCATAGCGTTTGCAGATAAGCTCCCACGCTGCTGTATAGCTAGCCGCTGATCCCGTTATCAAATGGCTAACCACCATTTGAGCTTCTCCTTTTAAGCAGGCTCTTAAATATCCCAGCTTCCTTGTGTTGCTGAGATCTTTCCTGCTGTCTATTAGTTCAGAGAACAGCTCGAAAAATGTTGGCCATTCCTTCGCATTTCCATTGAACGTTGGAAGGTCCACTTTTGGGAGTTCTGGCACGTCGCAGTTGGAACTTTTGAACTGTTCCAACTTCATTTGAAGTACCATCTCTAGTGCGGCAACTTCAGATTGCAGTATGTCTGCCTCATCTTGATCAAAGACAGTTCTGTCATACTTGTTTTCAAGCAGTTTCAGTGTGTCCGTCACGTTGGACCAATGACTTTTCATCATTGCCAGCTGCTTGACTAGTTCAATCTCACTTGAACTATCCAGGGTTTCGTAAATTAGGCTCATCTGTTGCCTCACCCTGTCCGCTCTTCTATCCACCAGTTGAACCAGATTATCAACTGGACTGGAGCTCCGAGCTGATGCGCTATCAGATAATTTTGATCCACTTGGTATATTTATTTCTTCAAGTGTTTCTACCTTTAATTGCGACTCCTTGTAGGCCTTGACAGCATCCATAGTTTTAATAAATATTTTATCATTAAAATATTGATGATCGCCAACTCCCAATTTTACCAGCGCATTGTTGTTAGTAGTAAATCGAACTACCAATGCTTCTATTGCTGGTATAGATGCCTTTTCCTTGATTGCTTGCAGTATTTTGTTCTGCAGCTCTCCTTGGTCTTGCATCAATTTCACAGATCTTTCCGACAACATGTTGGGAAAACAATCACTGTGACTTTTTTGTGCTTTCTGCTTAAATTCTTTGGCGTGATCCGTTGGAGGATTTTTTGATTGGTCGCCCAGTTGACCTAGCTGTGCCTCGACTCACAGCTGATTGATCAGCCAAGGAAAAGCAAGAACACAATGTTTCACCTTATAGTCCTAGTACTTTAAGGCGTGGTCTTTTATTCTGTGTTTCTTACCACTGGTGGGGGAAACAACAGAATCACTCGAATAACCTTGCTCTTTTTACTTTGAAGCGCTGGTTTTTTTCTTCTGTGTTTCTTACCACTGGTGGGGGAAAACAACAGAATTGCTCGAAGGACCAAAATGTAAAATTCACAATTGCTGATGTATGGCCTCAACACGCCTTACCACAATTTATAATGGTACACAAAGCAACCTTTAACTATAGACTATAAGGTGCTTGTTTTATTTAAAAACATAAAAGATTCTTTTGTATCTTTTTGCTTTTTATATTTATCTCTGTTCCTTACCTTTGGTAGGGGGAAACAAGAGTCAATTATTTTTGCTACCTTTAGCTGCAAGATTAACTTAGCAATGCTTAAAGGAGCTGGCCTTTCTCTGAATCCCTTACCATATAGGGGGAAACTGCAGAGTCGAATCCGGCTCGAAGGACCAAAATGTTCACACTATAAACTAATGCGTACACTTAATGAGTTCAATTCGGGTGTTTGAATCTAACTGACTCGCTGCTGCGAGGGCATCGCCTTTTATTCATTCTTACATAGGTTCTTATCATCTAATTATATAATGCAGCGCTTGTAAGACGCTGCAGTCTGCGTTGGTCAATGCAGCTGAGGTTTATCTCAAATCTATGTTTGAAGCCTATGACCGCGCTAGTCACCTCCCGCGTGGTCATATCTCTTGACACTTCGGCAATAGACCACTGCAACCGTACTTATCTGTAGTTGCCACTTATGCTGTCCCGTGACATGTTTATTGCAGCCCTTAAATAGAACATATTTATAGATTGTCTACTTATCATGTCTAAACACATGTTTAGACAGTGGGTGATAATTACTAATAAAGAGGACCTTGTACTTCCTTCGCTAGGGATGCGCACTCTTGCTATGCTCGGGTCTAGCTCGCCGTAGGTCGGGGTTCTTTTAGCTTAGGATAGTACGAACGCTACTACATTTTAATAAGTGCGTCTTACTCATAAACAATATTCAAAACTGGATTATCGATTAACAAAAAGAAATGGCTTTATATTGATACTAATGATACACGCCGACACGTGTGAAGATAAGCTACAGATTCTGATAAGTATTGGGAATTTTGGATGTTAATGATTCCCTAAGTCTTTACCCTCCCTACCATGACAATGCTACTTAAAATATTTACATTGTCCCTTGGCCAAGTTCAAAATAACTCTACCACATATTTAAGAAAGTGTTCAACATAAGTACTCGACAAACCATTAAATCTATTTATTCACAATTCATTCTTTTTGAATATATCTTCAATCATAATTCCATTTATATAAATTCAGTTTAGTAAACGATATCATTAAATCTCTTTTACAAACTAACAATATTTTTATCTACGCATAATTATCCTAGTCGTTCTCTAACTCTTCATTTTTGTTTATATTCAATGAGCAAAATAAAGTATATAAAAGCAAAGTATAAAGCAAATATATATAAGTAATTGAATATAAAATTAGCAAATATAATTATATAATCTTTAGTCAAATGCAGATATTATTTTAATTAGACGTTCGAGTGGCATTTTGTTAGAATTTTAATATAGGTAATTCATAATAAGATTTATATCATTGTTGTTGTAGTACTCACGACCTTAAATATCCACTCCATGATGTGCGTAAAGTTGGGCCCAAGTTCACGTTGACATTGTCGAGCTGTAGGTCAAACTTTAAAGGTTCTAAGTTAAATTCCTATTCAAATGCCAAAAGTTCCGTCAATCTGCGAGTATTTAATTCATTATAAATCGCAATACAAAAGAAAATCGAGAATCAAAACAAAACACAAAATATAACTGCAGCACTGCAGCGATAAGACCTTAGGAAACCGCTGGCTGCTACGCTGCGCTGCGATAAGACGAAATCACAAAGTTGGACCTCCGTTGGTCATAGGAGATGATCTTCACTGCGTGACGATGATGATGTTCAAACGTAATTAAATCTGCTCCGGTCGTCTAAACTTCTGCATAGCTGAATAATCTGGACGAGCTCTAGCCTTCCAATACATTTGGTTATCATTCGGCAGGTGGCCGGTTGCGTAATTTGATGCTGAAGGTTATGTCGCCTCGTGGCCTCTTCTTGGAGCGACGGGGTTTAAACCATAAGCTGATGCGGGGGTCGACGAGACGGGGGGGTAGTCGGCTGTAGAGCAATCACATGCTCTTATATATAGGCCTGGTCTTCCTTACGCCTTGGGGTCGAATCTCGTTGCCACTTTCACACGAATCGAACACGGAAATTTATTGAAATATACCAACTCTTGTTTTTATGAGATTGGATATATATATATAACTAAATTATATTTCCACGTGTATGTGAAGTTAAATGGGCAGCGTCAAAAATGTATGAGCGTTCGCCACGAAGATTTATCCGATAATCATCTAAGCTCTGGGGAAGCTGCATGCTGGTGGTCGCTGTTACAGCTTTTCTTTCCCTAACTGTATAATCGTACGATCATATTCTGTTCTGATTGGCCTAAGACAATTCTCTCGCTTTTTGTTTTGCACCAAAGCTGCTATAATTTAGGGCGAGGGTGTCTTGAAGAGTTTTTGCAGTGTAAAGTTAAGTTGGTCACTACAATACATACATTAAATGGCTTTAGAACATTCATCGATTATATTTTATAGGCGCACACAAGTTTTGGGGAGGTGTTTTGCCTGAGGTACTTTTTGACCTTGCCTTCGAGGTAAACTTAAGGCTGCGGTTGTTGATGTGATATGAGAAAAAGTAAATAGACAGTCAGTCTAATCTCACCTCTTTCACAGAGCATCAGTCCGGGACTGGTGGACACAGAGCTTGTGCCTTTGGACTACAAAAGGCTGCCCATGCTGCAGGCGGAGGATGTGGCAAATGCCATCATGTATGTTCTGTCGACGCCTCCGCATGTCCAGGTGCACGAGCTGACCATCAAGCCCATGGGCGAACCCTTTTAGGACACGCCTGCATTGCTCCACTTTCGCTGCTAAATATTTAACTATGATGGCTTTTAATTTCCCAACTGAATAATTCGCGAACTGCACAGAAATAAAATAAACCGATCCAATGGCTCTGCCTTGGAAAGGAATGTGACATTTTCAGTGTACCTACTGATATTATTAACTTTGGCGCTTAAGATAGATATGCATATCGAAATTTGTAAACCATTTTTTGTATTATTTGTATTTTTGAAGGATAAAGAAACTTTAAATTCGAGCTCGAGCTCGAAGGCAGTTCAAAAAGAATACCTGCTTCTTTCCACGTTTTACTACTTCTCTATTTTGAGATTATGCTATACATATATTATTATGTTATACGTTATATACACATTTTTTAAAATTGAATTGTTCATTGCTTGGTTGTTTTAAAGTCTCACATATAATATTTATTTGGAAAATACCAGAGTTTTTACCTTAATAATTGGTTTTGATTTCCAACCACTTTTGGCAATATGTAATTGATAAAACCGAACCAACACAATAGTTTACTCTTGAATAAAATGATCTAAAATTATAAATAATAGTATTGATCGATTCCATGGGCGGTATTTCAGATACTCCGATCTGCATGATTTCTAACTCTGGTTTATTTAACACTTAAGGTGGGCTCAAAATCGAAATTAAGTCAAGTCGATTTCAATACGCTTCGGGATGCTGATTACAGAGATCTATATATTTTTAAAGTGTCGATGTTATCCTCTTTGCCATGCTAACAGCTACAGGCTTCAGGCTTAATCCTTATTTTTGTGTCGGGCAGAATCAATTAGATTTCTCATCAAAAGCCCTATAGTTATAATATTTTACTGAGACTTCCACCATAAATTATTTGACAGCTATACAAAAACATGTATCAATATATTTGTGTGGTTGGCTCATACCTATACCTATTTTAACCAGGCTTCATCATTCAACTGATTTAGTGCGCGTAAGTACTTAAGGCACTCAGCCGATTTTAAATCGATTATTACATTTGCGACCCGCTAACGTCTTAATTAGCCCGTAAAATACGCCATAGATGCGCGATTCACTTAATTATTCAGCTCACGTGTGAACCGCGCGCTTGGGGCGGCGATGTTAAATATTTTATTTTCATTGACATAGGCCGATATGGGGGTATATAAGTGGATTGTGGGTGCCACCTGGAGTCAGTTGCGAGGAGGACTGCCTGCGAGCTGCGTCTAGAATCCGAAATACTCAAAAGTAACATTCATTGGGACCCGCAGCAGGCGGATTACTCGTCGAGAAACTTGGGGATGGAGCGCTGGCAAGATCGCGTGGCGGTGGTCACGGGTGCCAGTTCCGGGATCGGAGCTGCCGTGGCACGCCACTTGGTGAGTGCGGGGGTCATTGTTGTGGGTCTGGCCCGGCGGGTCGACCGCATGGAGGCCATCAAGGAAGAACTGCCTCCGGAGCTGCAGGGCCGCCTGCACGCCATCCACTGCGATGTCGGAGATCTGGACTCTGTGACGGCTGCCTTCGACTGGATCGAGGAGCAGCTCGGCGGCTGTGACATCCTGGTGAACAACGCGGGATGCCTGAATCCCGGACAACTGCTCACCCTGGAGCTGGAGCAGCTGCAGCAGGTCCTGAACGTGAACCTGATGGGCGTGGTTATCTGCACCCGCCGCGCCTTTCGCTCCATGCAGCAGCGCGAGGTGGATGGCCATGTGGTGCTCATCAACAGCCTCACGGGCCGTAACATCATCAATCCACCTGGCGACGAACTGCAGGTGCTCAACATGTATCCGCTTACCAAGCACGGGATCTCGGCCCTGTTGGAAGTCTTGCGACAGGAGCTGCGCGGATTCAAGACCAAGATCAAGGTTACGGTAAGTCCACATGAATAACTTTTTATTTTGATCAGCGAAAACGTGTCAAACGTTTTAGATTTGTATCGTCTGTCCGAATGCCTGTGGAATCCTTGAGATTCTGGGGAAATTTAAGCCTAACCAAGATGGAATGCCATAGTCGAGTTCGCCGACTATCAGATACCCGTTACTGAGCTAGTGGAAGTGCCAAAGTGCTGGAATATCGCTGGTAGTCAATCGCATGCAGTGGGATTTTTTGCCTAATTTTGAGTAACGAGTCTAATTTTCCTTTGCCCAATTTTCCTTTGCCTACGAGTCGTTGGCTCACCAGTTGTTTTCTGTTCTATTCTTCCCAGAGCATCACTCCGGGTGTAACCGATACGGAGATTCTGCCCTCCGGTTACGGTGCCTTGCCCATGCTGAAACCGGATGACATCGCCGCGGGCATCATGTACGCTCTTGGCACTCCTCCACATGTCCAGGTGCACGAGCTGACCATTAAGCCGTTGGGAGAGCCCTTTTAAGTCCGTCCGGGAATGTTATTGCATTGGCGGTGAAGAGACCGTACGCAGCCAATAAAGTGTCGGCTGAAATGGAGTTCTATTATTTGGAAATATTATGCGTTGGTCGGGCTCTGCTACTTGCTGCAGAGCACTAGGAATGGCCAAAAATAAGGAGATGCAAGCGCCAGCATGGCAAGCCTTGCAGCAACAACACGCCATGCAACAAGGATGTGCCTTACGGTCTACGAAGTGGGGCGGGTTGGGCGTATGTTGGGAACAGGTGACGCCACATGCGCCACTGCAGCAAGAACGCCCTTTGTCAATATTGAAAGCGTACGCGTTTGACATGACATGTAATATAGTCGCTCCCTACCCCACATGCAAGAAAGAAGGAAAGGCGGGGTCGAATCAGAAGGGCACGATTGCGGTTGGAGACACAATTGGATGTGTGAACAGTGGCTGCATGCAGCCAAAAAATGTGAAGAAAGTAGCTGCGATGGCGGTTACTCGGAATATTAAGATAATTGAAATGGCTGGTCATTTATTGGGTTCTCCTAGTACTTTCGGAACTAAGACAAGTTTCGATAATATGTAGGTCTGAGCGCAAGATGATTCACATTCGTTTTGGGCTGCTGTGGGCTGTGAACTGTGAGCCATCCGGTGGTCCTTTATTTTGCATCTTGTTTCGCAGTGTTCACATCTCCGTGGAACACACACATGGTTCATTCCTCGGTACCACCACCACCTTGGGCTAAGCAGCAGTGAGACAACTTTTATGACTTCCCCGCAAGCAGGAGGAAAGCAGGAGCAGCAGCCACTGGAACAACGGTAATGGCAATGCTTATGCTTACGCTTATGCTTATGCTTATGGTAAAAGCCACATCACCAGCAGCAACAACAGCAACAACAGCAGCAACATCGAGCTTCGTTCCACGTCACTTGCCTCACGCCAAGTTGTCAATGTTGCACATAAACACGGTGTTGTCAGTGTTGCTGCTGCTTCGGTACAGACAAAAAAAGGGAAGCGTTGGGTTTCTCAAAACTATCGCATATTATACAACGCAATACAAATAAGAGGGGGAGCTTAAGTCGAGTTCCTCGACTACCAAATACCCTTCACGCAGCAAAACTGAGAGCGAAGCAGGTAGAGATATACAAGGCGGAAGTCAACTGTTTCACAGGCTGACCACCTGACCACTTATTACATATGCTTCGTGTGCCGAAATATAAAAGTTAACAAAATCAAATACCTGGTCAAAAGGTCCAAAGGACCCCTGTGGGTGTCCTGTGTTGGGCGGTTTGCGGGCGTGGGAGTGGGAGTGGGCTCGCCCACCTTCATACATCACACTTCTCTACAAACGAATGTAATTATTATGTCAATGTTTTGAAATTGTATTGTTTCATTTAAGTCGTATTCTATTAGTTGAGTGGTACGAAATATATATTATTACTAATTGGGATCATTAGTCGATTTTAGCCAAGTCCGTCCGTTCACCTTACCCCAGTTTTCCCTCCGGAAAACTTTTTATGGACTTTTTAGGAAATATAAAAATATGCATGTGTCTAAAAGTCTCCCAAAAAGTTTACCAGAGGGGAAACTGCGATGCGGTATATATTTATACATACATAAACAGATACAACGTATACATCAACGGATATTGCTCGACATAATTATAACACTATTTTTAAACGGTTCGTCATAACAAACATGTCTTAGGAAATTAACATATACATTTTTTATTTTTTTTGTAAGTGTATTGCTTGTAGTGCTGCTTCAGTTGCAATATTGTTGCTTCAAACTTGGAGGAGAAGTGGGGCATCGGCATCTCGTTTACTTGTCTGTTCACTCCCCAACTCCTTTGAGAATTTCTGCAACGAGTATAGCTAATAATGTCGCCGCTCCTTGTTGTTCCGGGCTTCGATTTTCTTGATAGGAGGAGGATGACGAGTGCCAGCTACTTTTTCTCGCGGATTGAAGTTATTTTGCGGAATAATAATCTTCGTTCTTCTCCAGTCCACAGATGGTCCACAGGTCAGCATAATTTAGCTTTTTTTTTAATAGTTTAGTCGAATAAAAATTATTTGTTGGCACAAAAGCGATATCAGAAGTTTTAGAGCGACCGGCACCACCTATTGAACTCGATATAAGGTGTTAAAATTGTTGATGATAAAGGATAAAGGATGCTTAATCTCAACTACCTAGCGTTCACAGTTCCCGAGAGTTCAACGTTCATCGACGGACAAGCGGACGGACGGACAGACGGACATGGCTAGATCGACTCGGCTAGTGATCCTGATCAAGAATATATATACTTTATATGGTCGGAACTTTTCCTTCTGCCTGTTACATACTTCTCAACGAATCTAGTATACCCTTTTACTCTATGAGTAACGGGTATAATAATGATATACTGGAGCCGTTTTTTCTCTCTGGTGTGGCCAGAAGTCCATACGTTTTTGGCGGTGCTGTCTACAATAATTTTCAATAGTTTTGCGGTGTTCATGTGAGAACCATACAATTTTTTTCCATATGTATGTTTGGAGATATGAAAGTACAAAAGCGACTGATTTCCATATTAGCTACGAGAGTCACCTAGCGACGTCATTGACCAACATTTACTACCGAGAAAAAGTCTCTACAGACCATTAGCCATTTTAAACCGAAGTTTTTTGTATTTACCGAAGTAATAAAGCACAATTTATTAATTTTAGATCGAAAAAATTCACTTGCTTCCAACAACTGTAAGTTAACGATCAAAGTGCTCAAGTGTGCTAAATTCGTGTCCAGCCAATTTTGGGGGTGTCTGGATAAAAACGAATGGCAAAGAAAAAAGACAAAAGCTAGAGAGGTGAAAATAACGGTACTTCTTCTCTATTACTTCTATATTACTGATGTAATCATTTAACAAATAAAAAAAATAAGAAAAGATAATTGACCATGCATAGTGTGCTAAATTAGTGGCCACCATTGTTTATATTCTTGATCAATAGCCGCCTCGATCTTAGGAACTACAAAAGCTAGAATGTTGAGATAAAGCATGCAGCTTCCAAATGTTGCCACGCCCACTCTAACGCCCACAAACCGCACAAAACTCTCTCGCCCACACTTCTAAGCTTTTAAGTTTTTCTTAATTGTTTTATTTTCTCATCAATTTATACTGATATTCCCGAAAATTTTGAAATTTCTCGTTTGCACTTCCACCAGCTGAGTAACGGGTATCTGATAGTCGGGGATCTCGACTACAGCATTCTATCTTGCTTTTTTTGCGGTCGTTCACTTTAATGGGTGAAGCCAGAAGAATTTCGTAAAATAATAAATAATGATGAGTATGTGTTTTTATATATACCAGTTACTCGTAAAGTTAAAGGACTATCTGGCTATCTACGTCCGAATGAACGGCGAGATCTCAGGAACTATAAAGTTGAGATTAATGCATATTTGTTTCGTTTTATTTCTTGTCTTGCCATTACTAAAACCATTTTGGCCATGCCCCTTCTAACGCCCACAAACCGCCCAAAAATGTTTTGAAACATTTTTAAATTTTTTTTCACTTTATTATATTCTCAATTTCTACCGATATTCCAGAAAATGTTGAATGTTGGATCTCGTTCGCACTTCCACTATCTGAGTAATGGGTATCTGATAGTCGGCAAACTTGACTATAGCGTCCTCTCTTGTTTACTTGTGTATTCGAGTGTAACCATAACGCATTCCCTTAGCAATGGGTAACAACAGCCTTCGTGCTTGCCACGTTTACGATTGCTTAAATCGCACAGAATACGGCATTTAAAGATTTTCTTTATTTTTTGAATAAAGTATTTGACGCAAGTCAATTCCTCTTCTTTGTGATTTGTACTCGATTAGGGGCCCATATAATATATAGTTCTATTAGTTATTTCAATATTCCCGTCTTTAAGAAATTCGTTGATAATTCCATTTCTGGAATTGAGATTGTTTAAACTCAAGACTACAGCGTCGTCTAAAATAGTCAAAGTGTTGGGTACCTGGATAGAGCAATCAAGTGCAGAAGCACAGCGCCAAGTAAATAGTCAAAGCCAGGGTAGATGGAGGGTCAAAGCCAAAATGAACTTTTAGGAATAGATGTAGCTCACTGTGCGTCGTGGAAAAAAAGGGTATACTAGATTTCTTGAGAAGCTAGAATGTTGAGATTAGACATACGCGCATGCATACACGATGTGGCCACGCCTTTTCTAGCGCCCACACTTTGGAAAAATGTGTTGAAATGTTTTCATATCTTTTTCGTCTTTCCAACTTCTACCGATACGATAAAAAAATGTTGGCCACGCCTACTCTAACGCCCACAGACCGGGAAAAACTCCCATGCCCACACCTATTAATTTTTATTTTTGAGTTTTTAAAATTGTATTATTTTTCTTGTTAATTTCTATCGATATGCCAAAAAGAATGTTGAACTTCTCGTTAGCGCTACCACTAGCTGAGTAACGGGTATCTGATAGCTGAGGAACTCGACCATAGCATTCTCTCTCGTTTTAAATACAATTTCTGCAAAGGATACGCCAAAGCTACAAAGCTTTTTTTCTTGTTTAATGTTTTAAGGAATTTCATGAATTTTTTGACGTTATACCCGAGACGTGATTGATTTGCCCCGACATTTTCGCTTCGCAATTTTCCCACCTGCTTGATTTGTATCTTGACGCTAATTAACATAAAATGCTTACAGATTTTAATAAGTTAGGGCTTTGGGCCTTTTCTGCTTTTTGGGGAGTTTTTGAAGGCCAACAAGTGAAAGCAGCTTGCTTGAAATGCATTTGATTGCCTAATGTAGTAGTTTCCTTCTAATTAAAACTTCATTTCGAACCAAAGAAGCAGACCCAGAACGCCCGACGAGATCCCCAATTTCCCCGACTTGCTCAGTTTTAAACCGCTTTCTTCGTCTTCCTCGGAAAACTCAGCTGTGACTTAATCACGCGGCTCCCGTCTCGGTGCGAAAATCTAATTAAACAGTTTCGTGGATGTATCTCTGGAGATAGATAACCTCTGCGTGACGCTGAATCGGTGTGTGTGTGTTTCAGTCAGCAGCGAATTAGGCTTTTAGAGTTTCAAGTGCCAAAGGCCCCAAGCATACACTGACAGTTCAAATATAAGTGTGTATATGATGACAACGCGCCCTTAAAAATAACTTGAGTGAGAAATATATTTTCTCTTTTTTTATACAAAATTATAGTTGAAAACTTAGATCATATGGCAAGAATTTTGTTCCGGTTTCTTAACAATTAAATTAATAATAATTAAATACATATTGGAAATATGCTTTTTCGCTATGCGGTTTCGAAAAGTGTGTTCTTAAAATGTGTTAAAGGATCTTTAAATCTTCTGATTGCGTAGTTTGAGACCCATCGAAATGGTGAAAAAGGATTATAAATTTAAATTAATTTAATATCTGGAAAAGAAATTAAGATTAAAAATTTTCGCTCCTCCTCGACTGCCGACCCCTATATAAGCCCCTTTTCGGACGCCCCACCGGAGTTTCTGGTCATATTGCTCCGGGCAATCCGCTCAACTTGCATAATTTCCGCTGGGCTTTCTAGGCTCCGCTTCCGCTCTTGTTGTTGCAGCGTCAGCTAATTATAAAGTTGTAAGCGGAAACATTTACAAAACATTTAGCGAAAATGCTTATTTCCCAGAAACGTGTGCGGACTTGGTAATATGCAAGTTACGCCCAAGCCCTGCTGGCGAAATCAAAAGGCCAATGTTGGTCCTGCAGTACCACGTATGCTGGCCAACCAGCCGGGCATGCAAATGTGCCTGTGCGGCAACCGTTGACGACCATAGACCGCAAACGAACTCCGACCGTCATTCTTCTTCCTGTCCGGCATCACATATCTCTTACTTATTTACTCCGGCCCGGGAAGTGAAATAGAAGAGTTCGCCTACCCTAGTAAGCGCACGTCAAAAACACTTGCGAAATGAATTTAGTGACGAAAGACAGAACTCAGATCTGAATACGGACCACCTAAAATATGGCTGCCGTGGTTACTTTTTATATTTGGCGTACTGCCTGTATTGATGGAGAGTGCATAGAGAATATAGAAGACACATACATTAATTCAAGGGGATGCAAAAAATAGAATACCCGTTCCTAGGGTGTTCAAAGCGCCGCAGTGGGCCGACAAGCGCCTGATAATAAATGTCAAGCTGTGTGAGACGTGGGCATTGTGGCTCATGGGCTTGAAAGTTTTAAAACTCCATGAATTCCGGAATACGTAATCGTAGCCTGTGCATATGCTTGCAACGCACTCTGATTTCCACTGGCGGCTTATGATAAGTTCTGCTTTTTATCGCTGCTGTTGCTAGATAACAGCAAATAAGAGCAGTGCAAGTACAACGAGAAAGAACGCCACGTCCACTATCCGATACCCTTTACAATAGTGCTTTATAAAAAACTTGGTTAGAAATACCGATGGGGCCAGGTTGTATGCATTGATGCACTAGGCAGGAGTCACTAAAACCAGAATGAAACTAAATAACCGAGACGACCCCATCTGGGAAACAATATATGCTACAGACTTGGGATTCTACAGATTCTAGTTTGTTTGTGGTCATATCAGTCTAACACCATCAAAAAACAAGAAAGAACACTGTAGTCGAGCTCCTCGACTATCAGATACCCCTTACTCAGCTAGTGGCAGTGCGAACGAGAAATTTCTGGAGCATCGGTAGATGTGGAAAAAAATTTCAAACGTGTTCTTGGATGGCTCTTTAGAGTAGCGTTAGAGTAGGCATGGATAAAAAAAACGAAAACGCTTCCTTCTACCGGTTACATACTTTTCAACGAATCTAGTACAACCTCAACTCTACGAATAAGGGGTATAATAGAAATTAAAAATCAAAAAATTTCTCAAAAGTGTGGGCTGTATGTGAAGTTAGTGTGGAAGTGGCAAACACTATTTGGGCAAATCGATAGAAATTTACAAGAATTATACAAAAAAATTTGAAAAAAGTCAATACGTTTTTAAAAAATGTGTTGGTTTAGACCTTAGACATGGACATGGCAACGTTTAAAAATAAACTTGCGCTGCATCTTCTTTGCGCGCCTAATATCAACCTTCTACCTTTTAAACGGACGGACAGACCGACATGGCGAGATCGACTCAGCTAGTGATCGTGATCAAGATACTTTTCAACGAATCTTGTAAAGTACAGTTCCGCTTATACTTTTCAAGGAAATTGCCGAAATAAAGTTATACTCCACTTTATTGGAAATCATGCCATTCAATTTAAACATTTAAGCTAGGAACCCGTAATATACTCTGGTGAAAAAGTAACATTATTTGGAAAAATATCGTAATCTTTCGGCACACTTCAATATGAATAATTCTGCCTCTGGCATAATCTTTTTAAAGATAGTTTATTGGACTGTCAATTCAAGTGTCTCATTGGGGATGTTAAGCTAGGCTACTCTGTCTGTGGTGGGACTAGGATGAGACGTCCCTGGTTGTCAATGTTGAGACGGAACGGAGACAGCATTTCTCGGGTATCACGCATGATGCTGGGGTCCTGCTTAACGGCGTGATTGAACCCGTACAGGATAAGCAGGCATATGGTTGCCAGGGAGAAAGCGAAGGCGCTGTGACTGGACATGATTTGGAACACCACCGACTCGCTTTCCTTGGCATCCCGAACCCAGTGACAGGCACTGATCGCCGAGCAGGCGAAGATGGCGCCCATAACAAGGCGCCATCTGAACGAGCTCCGTTTCTCTGTGTTTACCACCTCAGCCAGCCGACGCTCGAAGGCCAGCAGGTCCTCCTGATCTGGATACTCCATTTGGAATTGAATTTTTTACCGACACGACATAATACCCCAGGATAAAATAAGGTAATTTTTCTTTCCTAAAGACGAAATGTGTTTGAAGAAAATGACAAAGTGATGATGATTTGATTTCTGGCGTGCATAATGAGAAAATCACACCTGTTACGCATATAGTAGATGTGTATACTAGATTCATTGAAAAGTATTTAACAGGTAAAAAAAACCTTTCCGACCATAATAAGAATATATATACATATATATTCTTGATCAGAATCACCATATACGTCACTTCATGCGTCCGTATGAAAGTCGAGATCCCGGGAACTATGAATGTAGAAAGGTAAGGTAATCATGACGATTATCGTTATGCCTACAATGATTAGTTTAATATGGTTGCCACGCCCACTCTAATGCCCACGATAAAGGCCAGCCGAAGTACCGGTTAACTCGTGATCATTGCAATTCAATAAATTTATAAATTTATAAATAAATATAAATAAATTATAATAAATAAATAATTTATAAATAAATTTATTTTAATAAGTATTTTTTGTAATATTTATATATAACAAGAGAGAAAGCTAGTGGAAGTACGGACAATAATTTCAATATTTTTCTGCCTTATCGATAAATATTGGGGAACAAAATAATAAAATGATAATAAATGTAACAGCTTTTCAAAAGCGTGGCAGTATTTTGCGGTTTGTGGGCATTGGGGAAGGCTTGTCAAAAATGTTTTGTGATTTCGATAGAAATCCTGGGACGGTGCAGTAGGACATGTCCAGCTGTCTTCGCTGCGACTGTGCAGAAGTTCACATGGTGGAACCTGAAGAGGTGCCCAATGCAGCCATGGTTGGTAAGGAGTAGACGTGCATCGTGTCCATTCCGCTAGGTCTGGAATGGGCTGGCCGGTCCATCTTTCTTGTGACGCTTTCCAGTTAGCCTATCTCTCCTCCTCGCAGGACCCCTAATCCGTGTAACACCTTCTTCAACTTGGTTTTAGTCAATCGGGGAATTCCCGCACGTCCTTGGATATGGTCCTAAAGCCTCTGAGAGAGCCTCTGGTAGGTAACGTAATTGGTGACCCACCTCCCAATGGGAGCAGCGCACAGGACCGTTGCCTTGGTGACCGCCACAAGCAGCTTGTTAGGCATACGTCTTGTAATATACTCGCAGCCTTGTGTCGTACGGAACAAATTTGTGAAGCCACTGCTTGAACTCTTCGCTTTTTATCCCAGCATCTCGGCACCTCTGCTTATATTCTTTTGGCATATCGCAATTTGTGTAGTTGCCACTTAAGCAGCGCACTTTTAATGGGTATTGTGATGATAGTTGTGGCAGTGAGGAGGTCTCTTGCTCAAAAGATGTTTTTAGAGCCGATGACATACCCTGTAATACTATATCATTCGGTAAGTGACCGTCTACAAAGATAAATGGCGAAAAGCTTTTGCAGCGTTTTGAAACTTGTTGACTTATCTACGCCATTCAACTACAGTTTTTCACTTTTCCGGTAATGCGACAAATTGCAAAAGATATTTATTTTCATGGAAACATTTTTGGTAAATTAATTTATAAACGAAATTGATAAAACACATTTCATAGATCAAAAGTTAGACTTGCCTACATTTTCGAAAAATCAACTATCCAATGATCCGCTCTCCTGGTAATTACAGAGTAATCAACCACCTGAACAATAATACTCCTCAAGCTAAACTGAGCACTAATCCAATGCAAGCAAAAACTAATGATAACGACAACAATGTGTTAGTAATTTGACAATAACACGGCTATCGGTATTTCGCAACCTTTAAATCTGTCAAGTGGAATCTGTGATGGGCATGTTGGATCGGACATAAGCACCCGGATCCATGTAGGCGGTCATGTAATATGGGGTTGCTGGCACGCGGATTACAATTAAGTCACCTACACTAGGAGCAATTTGCATCGCAACTGTGGCTGTAGCACAAAAGGGTTATTCAATCGCCCGGCAGCGCAACTCACCTCATCTCATTTTCACTCCTAGCCCACAAGAATGCATTAGTGTGAAAAATTGTATAACTTCTGAGTCCCTCAAGCTAGGGACTGTACCAAAGGCATCCTAAAGAGATACTCATGATTTGTCTAGAAACCACAGATAAACAAGATATAATTAATGAGTTTGCTTTATTTTCATAAATGTGTAAAATATTTTGCTTAAACTAGCTTAAATGACAAGATATAATGCTATAGTCGAGTTCGCCGACTATCAGATACCCGTTATTCAGCTAGTGGAAGTGCGAACGAGAAATTTCCACATTTCTGAAATATCGGTAGAAATTGGTTAAGAAAATAATAAAGTTTTAAAAAAATAAATAAGAAGTTTTTGGCAAACATATAACCAAAATGAATGAAAAATGAATTCAACTTTTTTCAAAAACGCGGGCGCTTTTTTAAGCGGCTTATGGGTGTTAGAGTGGGCGTGGCATGCTTAATCTCAACATTCTAGCTTTTGCAGCTCCTGAGATCGAGGCGTTCATACGGACAGACGGACGGACAGACGGACATGGCCAGTTCGCCTTCAGAATATATGCTTTATATGGTCGCAAAGGAAACTATGTATGCCTGTTACATACTTTTCAACGAGTGTATAATAGTATATACTCTACGAGTAACGGGTATACAAATATGGAAAAAATATTTTATTCGTCTTGTTGGACTACGTTGGACTCCATCGTTATTTGCCCATGATATCACACAGGTCGCATTCTAATGCGTTCGGACTGTCATTGAACCGTGGCGAAGCATTCTAAAAGCGCTGACAATTCAAGGACATTACGTACTTGTCTGTGTACATGTTATGCAATAAATAGTATGGTCTTATAGCAATCTAATGGCCGTTGTGGGCGACAGTTTTCGTTCTTGGTATCGTTTCCTTCGTCGCACTTTCATTTTTACGGGACACATACATACCGGCTCTTTCGACGACTGCGTTTAGTGGTCTTTATTTCCCAGTTGCCTTTCAAACGCAAATGACCCACAAAGAATGGGGACGGGGGATAATAAGGGATATAGTCAGCCAGTCACTGGACCTGCCACGCCCCCTGTCCCTTAACGTGCGGCGAGGAAAGGCGGGAGCACTGCGACTCTCGTAAAAATAGCAACGAAATTATGCAATTAGTGGCGTAATATGAAGCACTTTGCTGGCGCTGTGGGCGTTCTCGTTAATAAAGTTACCCCTCAGATTTCCCCTTCTCACATTCCCATTTGATTTTTCAGAGACAATAGCTTTTTCGGTGCTGTCGAAAAATTCTATATTTATAATGATAGCGTCCACGAAGTGAAGAACAAATTGATAAACAGAAGAAGAACCAATGCCTGCAGATGCCATAGGCTTTATTGGCCATAATACCAGTTTGGGATCCAATTAAATGTACAATGCCGCTACCTATTTATTTGCGTAAGTTCATTTGATTTCGCTGTGATTTAAAAAGTGGGTGAAAACGAGACAGGTGAAATCGCGCTCTACGTCCTTAGCTCCAACAGACTAAAACAGACCTGGTGGCTAACACCCAAAAGCTGAGAAGCTGGCATCGATTTTCAACAATTTACTCGCCTACGTCAGTGATTAAAGGGTTCGTGGCCCGTGGCCTTAATCGGGCGATGGGCGATGGGCGATGGGCGGTCTAGACCCTCTACCAAGTCATCGACAGGCTGCCAGCAGATGGGAGAACAGCGTAATGGTTAAACTTGGCCAAACGTGCTTAAAATACACGTTTGCCTTGGTCGCTACAAGCCGGGCCAATGCCAGTGCCTATGATGCGGATTATTCTTTCCTCTCGAACCCACTGTATGGCGATGAACAAGGTTTCGACGGACGGGACTTCTCTAATATAAATTTTATTTTACTTTGCTTATTGAAATAAAGGCTAGCAAATAAAACTATGGAGCTTTTGTGTTCATTTTTCAAGCACGTAGTTTCATTTTTTGGCACCCAAACAGGAAGGAAACTTGCGTCTCAGGAATCTGCATGCTTAATCGCCCACTCCAAACAGTAAGCAGAGATTATAAAAATAATTTTAATGTATTATAAAATGTGGGTTTTAAACAACATTTTAAGATTTGCATTCATTATACATTTTAATAAAAACTGGCGTCTGCCGAATAAAAAAGATTTATGATCAAAAACAACGGAACTATGATTTCCCTTCTTTATTTACAATTAGCTATATGTTATAAACAACTATATGTTTAAACAACGAAACTGCGACTTCTTTTTTTATTATTTCAAGTATAATTGATTTATTGTGCGCTGTATGCTTAGTTTGTTTAATAACATAGCTGCAGTGGCTTTCGGCAGGATCAACATGTAAATATTATATACTTATTCTAACAGCATGCTTATTGAGTAGGTTTTAACTAAGTAATTGTCTGGAAATGTGGGTAACAGGGAATTCAAAAGGTATTCAACAGGAATTCAATATAAAGTACATTTTAATGCTCTAATATATGAGCTTGACTTTTTAAAGGGATGATAGAACGGCTATTGTGCTATAGGGTGTAGAATTGCTAAGGAGAGGGATAAAATTGGTATTGGAATTGGAGATCGTATGTTATTAAGGGCAGTGCATTTCTTGTGTTCGACTCGGCAATTGATCCTGATCAAGAATATATATTATGTATATACTTCATATGGTTGGAAACGTTTCCTTCTGCCTGTTACATACTTTTCAACGGATCCAGTATACCCTTTTACTCCACGAGTGAGGGGTATAAATAGAATACCGAATTAGGTGACTTTTTTACATTTTTTTTTATGACACCTATGTGATACAGCTGTCCGATCCAGCCCGTTCCGACTTCTACTATATACTACCTGCAACAGAACGAGGTCTTCTGGTAAAGTTGCATGCAGATTGCTTTGAGTCGGAGAGACTAGTGGACTGTTTATACTGAGCAAACTTTTCCGACACTGCGTTGCAAGCTTCTGACTGAAAGCAATATGCGCTCTGTCAGGGTATCAAAAGTATAAGAACCATTCCTTAATTCCATTAAATGATTATATTAAAAAGAACGGACAGTCAGACGGACCGAGAAACTCGGTTTTAAACGAACTTTTAAGTCGCCCCGCGAGCCAC